AGCAGTCAGGTGGCCGCCTGCTGAGCCGTGGTGCCAGCATCGCTCGTCTCCAGATCGAGAGCACCTCCCCCTCCATGCGCAATGAGGGCCTCCTCAACATCCGTCGCCCTGTCGTTGTCGAGTTTAAACAACCATCGCATGGCCACGATCACGTCAGGCGGCAGCTGCTCCTTGAATCGCTCTGCGAAGGCATCCATCATGGAGTTAGTGACGTCTCCCCCATCCTTGACAATGCCTAAGGTGTGGCACACTAGCAGCTCAGCCACCCTGGCCGCCGGAGGCACCTTTGGGAGGCCTGCAGCCCGCGGTTTGCTGATGGAGAAGCCTCCACCGGTCTTGGAGATGTTGATCCCATCCATTGTTTTCCGACGGCCCTCCTTAGCTCTTCATCCTCGAGGATCGTTCTCAATGGTATTTCCGGGTGTCCCATCAAGCATGGGAAAGGTCTTTGGTAGGGAGACCCCATCTCCCCGTTTCTCTTCATCATCGCCATTGATCCGCTCCAAAGAATTCTTGATGTAGCTACGAGAAAGGGGCTCCTCCATAAAATCCGAGGTAGGGGAGCCGTGATGAGGACCTCTCTGTACGCGGATGACGCAGCCGTCTTCTTGGCCTTGGTCAAAAAGGACGTGGACAACCTTGCAAGCATTTTGAGGGGTTTCGGAGAGGTTATGGGCCTTTGCACCAATTTCCAGAAGAGTTCTATGGTGCCCATTCGCTGCAACCATCTTGATTTGGGCCGCCTAACCCAAAGTCTGCCGGCAACACGGGCTTCGTTCCCCTTGCGATACTTGGGCCTGCCCCTCTCTGTTTGGAAGCTCAAGTTGATGGACCTCCAATTTCTTGTGGACAAAGTTGCGAGCAAGTTATCAATTTATGATGGTCAAAACATCACCACCATCGGGCGAACGACCCTTGTCAAGTCCCTGATCACATCCCAAGTGGTCTACCCCGCCACCCCGCTGGTCATTCCACCAACCATCCTTCTCAATGTGAACAAGCTCGAGAGAGCTTTCTTATGGTCTGGTTCAGACAAGACGACGGGGGCAAAATGCAAGGTGAATTGGGAGATTGTTTGCCGGCCTCTTGAGTATGGGGGGCTTGGGGTTCTCAACACCGACAAGTTCACTCGGGCTCTCAGGTTGCGGTGGTCGTGGTATGAATGGAAGGATGCCACCAAGATGTGGGTGGGGATGGGAAACCCATGCGACGAGGAGGACCTCAACTTTTTCTATGCTTCCACCACCATCATCGTTGGTAACGGCGCGAAGACCCCCTTCTGGGACTCTCCTTGGCTCCTTCGACGCAAGCCTAAGGACATTGTTCCGCTCATCTATGAGGCCTCCAAGAGAAAAAATTGGAAGGTGCGGGAGGCGCTCAAGCACAATGCGTGGATACTCAAGATCAAACCCCCCACCGCTGTTTCTGTTGAGCACGTCACACTGTTCTTCGCTCTTTGGATGCTCCTCCTTGAGGTCCATCTCGATGATCTCACCGAGGACGACATCCTTTGGAAACATACGGCAAGTGGGCAATACTCGGCGGCCTCTGCATACAAGGCGCAATACCTAGGGATGGTCCTCTCACCCATGGATAAGATGGTTTGGAAGGCTTGGGCACCTTCAAAAATCAAATTCTTTGCTTGGTTGGTGCTGCAAGATAGAATTTGGACCGCCGATAGGTTGGCAAAGCGTGGGTGGCCAAATTGTGATCTTTGCCTTTTTTGCAAGAGGGTGCAAGAATGCGGACCTCACCTCTTCTACAAATGCCGCTATACTCGAAGGCTTTGGTCATTGGTCATCGAGAAATTCCTCATTCTCGGGCTAGACACTTCCGCTTGGCCCTTATTTGACTCGGTTAAAGATTGGTGGGCGAGTACTTGCACCGACGGCACGCCAAACCGACAAGCCAAGGCATCCCTCATCATGCTCGTGTCATGGACAATTTGGAACGAGCGTAACGCAAGAGTTTTCAAACATAAGAGTGCTCCACCGACAATCTTGCTCTCCTCCATCTCTACCGAGGCCAACCTTTGGATCGTCGCCGGTGCAAAAAAGCTAGGGTCTTTAATTTTGCGAGAATAATCCGCATGCCGTGTATTTGGGTGACATGTAACAAACTCTTTTGTCTCTTATTTAATGGATGAGGCAAAGCTTTTGCCTCCGTTAAAAAAAGTCTCACAGCGACGGCGGCAAGGCAGCCCGCGACATCCCCATGGCCAGCCTGAACAACGGCTCCTGGTCGATTGGCCTCTGCGGCTGCTGCGACGATGTTGGCAGCTGTAAGCTAATTCCCTAGAAAATACTTTTGGTTCGCGCTGGCAAGCATAAGCATGCATGCTTTGGAAGCCCTGATACTGATAGTGAACTTGTTGTTAGAAGGGAGACAGGGATTTGGTGGAATAGTTTTGTTCGTTTTGCTTGAGCCTCGTGGGCATATATATAGGAGTACATGATCTACTTGGAGTACAAGGCAAGCCAGAATAATTCCTAGCCTAACCTATATTTCCTAATACAATCACGTTACTCAACATCCCCCCGCAGTCACAACGGTAGCGACGCAGACGGTGAGACTGGAGAAGAATCCGAAGGCAAGCCGACGGACCCCCCCCCCACTGTCGTAACGGTCGACGCATCGCGGAGTCGTGGCTGGAGTGAAAACCAACGAGGTTGCTCAAGCAGGCGGTAGCCCTTTGTGCCGTTTGTCGATGTAGCCGAGAGCGTGGGTGGTGGAGCCGTGGTCGAGGTAGCCGTGCGAAGAATGCCGTGGTCGATGTCGAGTCGGGGTAGCCGGTGTCGAGAAAGTCGCCGTGGAGCCGCGGGCGCAAGGAGGCGCCGAGTTAGTCGTGGGCGCAGTGGTGCCGAAGTAGTGATGCGCCAGGAAGTAGATGATGTTGACGACGCATCGCGCCGGGGTTGCCAACCCCGGGGACACATCGTAGACGAAGGCACGCGTCGGTGTTGCCAGCACCGAGCATGCGTAGACGGACGAAGACGAAGTTGACGAAGTGCCGCACCAGGCTTGCCGGGCCTGGGGACACGTCATGGACGAAGGCACGCGGCGGTGTTGCCAACACCGGGCATGCATAGACAGGGACCTGCACGAGCTGTACGCCATGTCGAAGAAGTCGGAGAGGCCAGCAGAGAAGGACTCGACGACGGTTGCGGCGCCAATCGGCATGGGGCCAATGTCGCCCGCGGTTATCGGAGTAGATGAAGCGGTCGGGGTAGATGATGATGACGCTGGCGACGGGCTGGTGCTGGACAAAGACGAAGGAGGTGGACGGGCGGCTGCGGCGGCTACGGGGGTAGCGGCGGCGGCTACAAAAGAAGAGCGGCGGCGGCGGCCTGACGGCGGCGGCGGCGGCTAGGTCAGGAGCGCGGCGGCGGTGCTCGAAGTAGGCGAAGAACCCGATAGCGTGACGAAGACCGGCGCAGACGGTGGCGTTCCCGCGCCAAAGGAGGTGGTGCGGCGCATGCCACAGGAAGTCGACGCACGGGGACGGCGGTGGACCGCAGGCCGCGGCGCTACGGCCCGAAGGGGCGACGCAGCGGCGGCGGGCAAGTCGGGGTGACGACGGAAGACCTCGGGATGGTCGCAGGGACCGCGGGCCGCGGTGCTACAGCCCGAAGGGGCGGCACAGCGGCGAAGCGCGGGGTGGTGCAACCGCATGGATGGCCTCGAGATGGCGGCGTGGACCGCGTGCCATGCTCGCTACGGCCCGACTAGGCGACGCAGCGGCGGCGCGAGGGTCGGTGCAGCCACGGGGACGGCCTGGAGCGGACGGCCTCGGGGTGGCGGTAGACCGCGGGCCGCGGCACTACGGCCCGAAGGGGCGACGCAGCGGTGACGCGGGTCGTTGCAGTCGGGAGAAGAACCACGGGGCGGCGGCGCTGCGACCCGACGGGGCGACGCAGCGGCAGCCCCTTGCTCGATCGACGGAGGGGCGCGCTGAACTCGGAGACGATCTTCACGGGACCTGCGGAGGCGCGCGTAACTGACGGGTCAGGTCGGTCGCGGGGCATAGATGAGGCGGATCGCGGCGGCGAGCGGGTGATCAAGCCGATCGCGCGCGAGGTCGGGGACGCCGCTCGGTGGAGGCGTGGTGGCGGCGGAGTCCGAGATGAAGCCGGCGGCGGCGGGCGGCAGGGCGGCTATGATTGGCCGCCGCATGGCGCGAGGCCTCCGGGTCGGGGTGATGCAGGAGTCCCTGTCGGAGCAGGGCGGTGACGGCCGGCGTAGATCGACGGGCGGGCCGGCGCGCGGACGACGGCCTTGAGGGCTGCCTGTCACGCGAGGCCGCCGGGTCGGTGAAGTAGCCGGCCGGTTGCGCCGATGTCGGAGTAGAGGCGCGAGGTGTCGACGACGGCGGTGGGCGACGCAAACCGATGAAGAAAAGATCGGAAAACCAAAAGTAGACGCTGATCAAAACGACCGGCGAGAGAGAAAAACCCGGATCAAAGGATCGGGAAAAAGACTCTCTAGGGCAGCCGGCCAACACGGCCGGCGGACGAACCCTAGGTACGGGCGGCGCGGCCCCCGGCGGCGGTCATGGAGGCCGACCGCCCCGGGGGCGGCGCGCAAGTGCGGAAGCGGCGGCGGCTAGGGTTTAGGATTGACTTGCGATAGATACCATGTTAGAAGAAAGAGAGGGATTTGGTGGAATAGTTTTGTTCGTTTTGCTTGAGCCTCGTGGGCATATATATAGGAGTACATGATCTATTTGAAGTATAAGGAAAGCCAGAATAATTCCTAGCATAACCTATGTTTTCTAATACAATCATATTACTCAACACTTGTAGTGACGACAGGCCAAAATAATTAGCGCGTGTGTGCTGCAGGCTGCCTGACGTTCTTCTGCCCGTGCGTGGCCTTCGGGAGGATCGCCGAGATAGTCGACAGGGGAGGCACATGTGAGTTCATTGTGTCCGGTGAACCAACTACTAGTACTAAATTATTTCCGTACGTCTCTGTTGATTGCTGAAAGACAATATTGATGCATGGAACGAACGAACTCAGCGTGCTGTGTGAGCGGGACGCTGTACATGCTGCTGGCCTCGGTGACGGGGGGATGGGGCTGCCTCTACTCCTGCTGCTACCGCTCCAGGCTGCGGGAGCAGTACGGGCTCAAGGAGAAGCCCTGCGCCGACTGCTGCGTCCACTGGTCCTGCGAGTTCTGCGCCCTGTGCCAGGAGTACCGCGAGCTCAAGAACCGCGGCTTTGACATGCGCCTCGGTACGTACGCACAATCCTTCGATCGTGAGCCTTGCTCGTTGCGTGCGTCGACAGCGTAACCACGCCGTGCCGGTCACCGATCACAAATCCCAACTGGATCGGCTCGTCCGTTTGCGCTTTCGGAGCTGCGGTGGTTTAGCAATGTGCTAGCACTAGCTGCTTCTAGAATGGCCTTGCGCGGCGGTGTCTTGATCAGCTTTCTTCTTGTCTGTTGGTGCAGGGTGGCACGCCAACATGGAGAAGATGGGGAAGAGCGCTGCCACCGTCGCGCCTCAGGCTTACTCGGGGATGACTCGCTAGTGTGCCCGCATCGCTCGAATCCAATCCATGCAGTCACCATGGATGTGTATGATAATGCCGGCTTCCAGCTCAAGAGAAAGAATGCCTTGCCAGGCTACCAGCTCCTAGTACTTCTGTCTTGTCGCCAGTTAGTTAATTTGTGTTTGTGATGATGGTTCCTGCGTGTGCCTTTCTGTTGCAAGTCGTTTTCCATCCGTTCAACCCCACAGAGTTAATTGCACAGAAGTATCACAATTGGGGCATCGGAAACAGATTGATATCAAGTTTGATAATTTTTACGTGTCAGTACCAACTCTGAAACGCGGCGTTGCAAAACGGACTAAACGAATTCGTATTGACGGAGAAACTGACAGCAGGGCCCGCCTGTCAGGGGCAGCTGTGGCATCTTCTTTTACAGAAAAACCCCTCGGCTTATATTTAATCACACAAAGGGCCTCGTTTGCAGAAAAAACTCAAAACCTGCAAAAATCAATAACGCGCGCCCGTGAGGATTCGAAACGCGACAGGTTGCCCGAGGGAAAGGCCAGGTGACCACTACGCTACGCCACTCATTAAGAAATAGCTAATGCTTAAATATTTTTATATTATACATTAGAAACCATTTTTGTTGCCGGAAAACTGTTTCGTTTTTTTAATGCGTTTTTTTGTTTCGTATTTCTTTTATCTTTTAAGACAAGTCCTGGCCTTCTTCCGGTTTTCCTTTTTAAAACTTTTGCGCATCTCTTTTATATATAGGTTTTCGTATTTCTTTTCTATATAGGTTTTGAAACGTACACACTGATAATTGACGCCTTTTTTGAAATGTGGCCCCTGACAGGTGTGTCCCACGCATCAGTTTCAGCTCAATACATGTACATTTCAAAAAAGGTTTGACATGTATTAAAAAATTATTGTGTAAAATCATTTTTAATTTTCTTTTATCTTTTTAGATCTTGGGTATTCTTCCGGTTTTCCATTTCTTTTATTTACGCACATTTCTTTTTTATATAGGTTTTGTAGTAAATGGTGAACATTTTCTCAGTACTCGACATATTTTAAATTTATACTGAACTATTTATTATGCGATATTTTTTTTAAATACACACTGAAAATTATTTTATAAATAGATACTGAACACTATTGTATAATATACGAACAGTTTGTTATACACACTGAAATTATTTATACTGAATAATATATGAACACCTTTTTTAATTTTTAGATGAACATATTTAAAATATATGGTGACGTTTTTTTAATATATATATATATATATATATATATATATATATATATATATATATATATATATATATATATATATATATATATTGAACTTTTTATATTATGCGATATTTTTTGAAAATGCACACTGAATATTATTGTACAAATACACACTGAATACTATTGTATAATATACAATGAACAATTTTGTTATATAAATTGCATTTTTTAATATACAATATCTGAAAAAATGCCGCACAGAAAAAAGTTTGGTGTAAATTTTAAAAATGTCAAAAGTATTGAAATAATGTACACCATTTATTACAAAACCTATATATAAAAGAGATGCGCAAAAGTTTAAAAAATGAAAACCGGAAGAAGACCAGAACATGTCTTAAAAGATAAAAGAAATACAAAACAAAAAAAGCATTAAAAAAACGAAACAGTTATCCAAAAACAAAAATGGTTTCCTACGTATAGTATAAAAGTGTTCAAGCGTCTACCTTGTTAACTGGGGTGTCGTAACGTAGTGGTCGCCGCTACCTTCCCTCGGGCAGTCAGTCGCGGTTCGAATCCTCGCGGGGGCGCGTTATTGATTTTTGCAGGTTTTGAGGTTTTTCTGTAAACGAGGCCCTTTGTGTGATTAAATATAAGCCGAGGGGTTTTTCTGTAAAAGAAGATGCCACATCAGCCCCTGACAGGCGGGCCCTGCTGTCAGTTTTTCCGTTAATATGAGTTTATACGTAGTTTAGTCCGTTCTGCAACGCCGCGCCCCAAAGTTGGTACTGACACGTAAAATTTACCAAATTTGGTACCAATCTGCTTCCAATGCCCCAATTGTGGTACCTCTATGCAATTAACTCAACCCCACCATAAGTGATGCTTTTGTAGCCATTTGTGTTTGAATAATAATCTATCGGATCTCTGTGTACAAAATACACAGGACCATGTTATAGTATTTAATTTAATTTTTTGAAGACCATGTTATATATACAGTATAATGTTTTGATTTATATATGTACACTGTTTTTGGAAATAATTTATGTTTACTATTTTTTTCTGAAAGATCCAGCAGCTGGCAGACTTATATTGATGATTTAGCAGAAAGCATGCGGGAAATAAAAAAAATGTCATTTTCGATCCAGGGATCAAGGATGAAAAATGATTTTTTTTTTGAAATGGCAGTTATCCTGCGTTCATTAAAAAGAAAATAGTTGCTCAGTTAATTGAGGAAAACCGAGCGAAAACCATATTGCCCAGTTCATTATGGAGAACCGTGCGATAACCATCACAACCGCTGGGCAGCACACATATGAAACCTCACATACACCACTTCAAAAAGGTTCTTGCCGAGACATCACACAGGCGTCATCGTCATCACTCCTCCCCTAGAGGCGTCATCGCCATCCCTAAACTCTGAGCAAACGACTTCGACTTCACCGTAGGCGATCATCAACTCAACCCACACTAAAGAGGCCGTGTGGAGATGCATGAAGGTCCGCGCCAGACGCAGCCATCGGTGACCAGACAGCGCAACTCCGACTCTAGCGGAGAACCACAACGGAGAACTAGGCACGGCTGGCGCCGCAGAAGATCATCGAACGAACCACCTATTGCCTGTTATCGTATACCACCGGGGCCCCGGCACCGCAGCTTTGACTTCACAGCAACAAACCAGCCGAGACAATCCCGCGGACACGTCGGAGAAGAGCCTACTACCGCAACCATAGCCACGTCTCCGACGCCGATCACCCCATCATCGTTGCCATAGAAATCTCGTGCCAATATCGCTGTCTTTCACTGGTCTCTGCTCGCTAACATCCAGCTCCCAAGACGAAGCTCCCATGAGGGAATACGACACCAAGGCGTCGTCATCGTCCGATCAAACCAGATTAAGGGTTTCCCCCGAGCTGCAGTGATCCGCACAGGAGGGGTGCAGTAGCAATACAACAATGTCTCCAAGAAAATAAGCGACGGCTACGGCCGCCGCCATCACTGGTCACGGCCACAACCGAGTTTTTTCACCCAAGCTCCTGAGACCACCTCATCCGCACATCATCTCAAAGGCGACCACCTAGCACTACCACCGAGCCAGCTCGTAGTCGAAGAAGCCCATCATCGGAGAAACCAGCCGCACCTTGCTGAGGCCGCCGACCAACACTAGCCGCTAGATCCATCACCAGCCGACCGAGAGTCGGGTCACCGGACGCAGCACGAACCACCAAACCATGCCGAGCACCACGCCAACAAGGCTCAACGAAATGCTACCCGAGGCCATGAACCACCTCGGTTCCCAACCGTGACCAAGCTCACACGCGCCCGCGGGCCCGCTGGAGGACGCAGAAGATCCTGCCGCCGCAAGCGCGCACCTGCTCCACCACTACGAGCTCCTCCACCTCTGGCTGCCGCACTAACCGAGTAGCAGCAACCCCTCTCGCGCCGCCGCGCGACCTCACGACAGCACCTACTCACCGTCGAACCCCCGAAGCCGCTGCCCCAGCACCGTACAGGCTGCCGGAGTCCCTCCACCATGCGCCCCTGCCGGAGCAGCAGCATCACGACGGGCCTCGGCCCTCCTACCGCAGATCCGTGCTGCTCGGAACCCCCGCACGTGCCTGTCGAGCCTCTCTGCCCAGCCTCGCCCGAGCCGCCGCTCCCCACGCCCGCGCAGCTTCACAGCAGCAGCACCTCAGCGTTGCCTCGCTGCTGCCTGACTCTGCGAACCACATCCCATCGCAGCTCCTCTGCGCCGCCTCGTTCCTTCGTGAGCCAAGGCCGCATCCTGACTCCACCCGTGCCCTGCAACCGCTGCTGCGCGTAGCCCCTGGAGCTTATCCCCTCGCCGGTGCTTGAGGCCACCAGATCCGTCGTTGCTGCACTGCAAAATGGCCCCACCGTCACCGACGTCGTCAGGCTTTGCCTGGCGACGCCCTCCGGCGGCGGTGAGGGGAGAGGAGGAGGAGGGAGGGCCCTGGCCGGCAGTGGCATAGCTAGGGATGGCCAAGGTGGTCCATGGACCACCCTGGAATTCCCCCATAGCTTGTGTATAGTGTAGTAAAAATATTTCTTTGAAAATAAACAAAACTTGTGTAAATGTTTCTATTACCGGACCACCCTAGCAAATCGGGCTGGCTATGGCCGGCGGGATTTGGGGCGCTCCGGTGCAGCTCATGGAGTCGCACGGGAGCGAGAGGGGCGGCGTTTTAAAAAAAAATGCATGGCCAAGAACTTGGCTTACATCTGGTCTGACTACTCACAATGGTTCCCCAACAGGGTGCTCCAGACATGCAGCGCCGGCCTGTCACCAGGGTGGATCAATCTTCTCACAACAACTAAAATTTTTGCAGTGCATGCATCTCTCTCATGCCAGATCACTCATATGTTGATCAGAATTAAAGACCTGTCCCCTTTTCTAAATTCCTACCTTGGCCCCTCGATCATGCTGGAGACAATGTTAGAGTAGTTGATCGTGTTTTTGAATTCCAAACCGCGGGGATGAAGGAGTTGCATCCTATCCATCGAGCCGCCACCGACCAGACAATGATAGAGATTGTGCACTACCATAACAGGTGGCAAGACATTTCGCAAAAAAAGGTGGCAAGACAATTCCAGGTTCCAGAAGCAAAACTAGCAGAAATATCCGTTCATCCATCCTCTTCCTTGCAGTGGATCATTGCACCATAGCCTGTTTTTGTGTAGCTTCCAGGCAAAGATCTTCAGGCAACCCGGCAGGCAACCTCCCCAGAACAGCTTCCTGCAGCAAGTCTTCATCGATCCTTGGGACTGGATCGCATAGG